ATGGAGTTTTCATATTAACTCCCCAGACAAACTGAATTACTGCTACGGCGGAGGGTGGCAGGAGGAAGCAGTTGTGTCTGTCTGTCTGTCTGTATTGCTTGACTGAGCCTCTGGGAGTGTTGGACTTTCCCTCCTTTCCTTTCCTTCAGAGTTTTGGGGGCAGCCCTCCCCCTGCCCTCCACAGAGGCCCAGCCATTGAGGCAACTTGGGAATGACAAAGCTGCTTTGGGTCTGTGTCTGCAGGAGCCCAGTGCTAGCAGGAGTCCCACCAAGCTAGGACAAAGGAATTTGGGGGCCGGCGCTGGCCTCCCTCCCCACCCTACAGCTCAGCCCAGGAGCTCCTCTGCCAGTTGCAAAGCCTGGGGTAAATTGTGAGGTTTCATCCTGTGTGACTAGGTTGAAAGGCATCCTGGAAAACTTTCTCAGAGTATCTGGATATCTGGGCCCCCAAGCAGGGGGCATTTGGGGGTAGGTTGAATTTCACAAGATAAATCCCCTGAGCTGCCGCATGACCTCCCCTTCCAGTACACACTTGCTCCTCTTCCAGGGGCATAGGAAGAGATCAAAAACTGCTTTCCAGAATGTTCTAGGGTGCCCCCCCCCACACGCGTACACCTTCCTGGGCCTGGGAAGTTTTGTGATAGCCATGTCTAACCAGGTCCAAGGTTGGACCTCTGGAGCAGTCCACAGAGAGTGCAGAGCAGGAAAGCATTGTGATGGAACCCTAGCGACTCCTCTCAGCAGCCAGGCATCCACAGGAGGACCTTAAGCTTCAGGACTTGGGGTGGTGGATCCCAGCTGACACTTTACTCACCCGTCATTGCTGTTTGCCAGGAAAAAGTGGAATCTGGCCTTTCCCTAATGAACTCACTTTATAGGAAGCTTCTTCCTGGTGGAGTCTGAGGAGGAGCTATGATTGGCATTGTCCTGGCCAGCAGGCACGCAAACATGCGCCTGCGCGCACGCGCACACACACACACATACACACACACACACACACACACACACACACTCATACACCAGTGATAGTTGACAGGCTACCGTCCTCAAATTTCTACCCAGAATAAGGTCCTGGTGCTGAGCCTGAATTTGGTGTGGTGGGCAAGTTTTCCTACCATTTCTCCGTTCTCACTGACATCATAGTAGTTTACTCATGGGGGGGGGAGGGAGAGAGAGAGAGAGAGAGAGAGAGTTGGGGGTAGGGTCCTCACCCAACAGTTCCCCAGAGAGACCTGCTCTGCTTTTCACTAATAGCCCAAAGGAACTAAACAGGAAGAGGTCAAAAGTCCACACGGGCCAGGGCAATAGTACAGGCGCTGGTCTTGCATGTGGCAGACCGGAACCCTGTATGGTCCCCTCAAGTCCCTCCAGGAGTGATTCCTGAGCCAGAGTCAGGAGGAAGCTGTGTTGGGTGTGGTCCCAAACCTTCGTTGCCTCCAACGTCCACTGGACAAATAGAATACAGGGCTTAAGCTAGGAGCAGAGGGAGTTCAGGGGTTAAGCTGGAGCAGACAGTACGTCAAGGTGCTCTCTTTGCAGGCAGCCCGCCCTGCTTTGATCCCCAGCACCACTTACGTTCCCTGAGCACCCCAGGAGCGATCCTCTGAATACAGACCCAGGAGTCCTAGAACACTGCTGGGTGTGCCCCAAAAGTCCGCTGGATCAGGTAGAAGTGACAAGGCCTTCAGGAGACCCAGATTCAGTCCAGGGGTGTAGGAAGTGGGTGAACAAAGGTCTCCTCTGACTGCGAAGGGGACAACAGGAAGCTAACCCTCATGAGAGGCTCGTCCTTTGAACATGCAGGCAGGAGAATGTGTGTGATCCAGAAGAGCGAAGAAGGAAAGGAAAGGGAGCAAATTCATATAGCGCAGATTTCCACCAGGAGCCCCCACCTGCGATGTGGGGTGCAGAGGGCAACGACTTGGGCTTGGGAAGACAGTGGGAAGCCCTCAGAGGCTGGACTCAGAGGCCGCTTCAAGCTCTCCGGGGCGTGTGGGCATCCATGCCAGCCTCCAGCCTCGAAGCACTACAGAGCAAACTGTAAACGATCTGGGTCCAACTGAATTCATTTGACTCGTTTTTTCCTGGGCCTGTGCAGCCAAGTCAGTAGGCTGAATCCAGGAACCCCAGAACCCAGGAGGGGGGCCCAGAAGGGAAGAAGTACTTCCCCATCTACCCAGAAGCAACTTCCCCCATCTCTGAACTCAAAACCCAGTAGTATGGAGGAGATAAACTACTCTCTTAGAACACAAACAACTGAAACTTTCAAAGGAGATTTCCCCACACCCCACCACCTCCTGGGGGGAGGGAAAAAAAACTAACGCTTGAGATCTCTGAATGGAAGAGGAGATTCTAGGGAAGCCCTCCTTTTCTATAAGGAAAACACATTCATGATTAATCATGAAATTAAAGTGGATTTTGATGAATGTCCCGAAGAAAATGATCCAGGAAGTGAGTGAGTTGGATTCCCGGGCGAGGAGTGTGTGTATCCTGAAAGCCTTTCCGTTTTCCACATGGCATGTCCCTATTCCCCATACCGGGAATTGCTTCCTCACCGTTATTTTAAATGCAAGTCCAGACAGCCTAAGTTGTTGCCGAAACTGTGGTCTTTGGGGTTCAGAGGTCTGGAAGCTCCCCGGCTGGGACAAGTGGGGAAGAGGGGAAGTCTAGCTAAGATCCTTCCATTTGAAATTGAAAGTAGTTGGGCCTGAATTTTGGTGTTCCCCAGCTGGAACTTCGGAGAGCAGGTACCAGATATTAACCCTTCAGAAGGGAGGGGCAGAGAGATAGTACAGTGGCAGGGCATTTGCCTCAACCCGGGTTCGGTCCCGCATCTCCAACACCTCCAGGAGTGATTCCTGAGTGCAGAGCCTGAGCATCGCTGGGTGTGGCCCAAAAAGCCAAAATAAAAATAATAATGATAGAACTGCACACTGCACTGTCCTCCCGTTATTCATCAATTTGCTCAAACGGGCCCAGTAACGTCTCCATTGTGAGACTTATTGTTACTGTGTTTGGCATACTGAATATGTCACGGGTAGCTTGCCAGGCTTTGCCATGTGAGCGAGATACTCTCGTGGCTTGCTGGGCTCTCCGAGATGGGCGAGAGGGGCGGAGGAATCAAACCTGGGCCAGCCAGGTCGGCAGGGTGCAAGGCAAATGCCCTACCCACTGTGCTATTACTCCAGCCAATAATAATAATAATAATAATAATAATTTTTAAATGAAGGGACCACAGGAACCGGGAACCGAGAGTAGCAGCCATCTGAGTATCGTCTATTCTGAACACCGCTGGCGAGCAGGCATCTTAATACAGAGTCTTTGATAACCCGGAACTGCCCAGCGTCAGTAACCAGGCGGCTTCCAGGGGACTGAGCCCCCCTGCCCTGGGGTTGTGGGAGTGAAAGCTCTATACAGCAAGTGGGAAGGGCTAACCCGACAGACAGGCACCGGGTCGCCTCCAGTCACTGCAGAATTTCAGTTAGCATTTTAGCTCACCAATTTCCCAACTGAACTAAGGATTAGATCAGTAAGGACAACAATCAAAAGCAAAGCGAGGCAGGCAGCTGGAGGGGCTCGGCCGGCCGGTTCCGGTGCGAATAGACGGAACTCTGAAAGCTTCTTAGACTCAGAGCCAGTCAGTGACCACTAGGAAAAGGGAAGGGGAGAAAGAGAGTCAGAGGTATCTGCCTCCAGTCAGGGGCATCATCCCTAAAGACCATCTCCAGAGTGCCTGTGTCAGATCCTCCAGTCAAGCCCCTGAAACTGGGGTTCCTGGAGGTGGGGGGCCGGGGGTGTAGGGAGGAGGTGGCTGGGGATGTAGGGAGGAGGGAGTCAGGAGGTAGCACAGCTGTCTAGAGGGTAGGGGCGCAGGTGTCCTCAGCCCCACACTGCAGAGGGGTTGAGGAAAAGGTCCAGGCCCCATGACTCCAGCTGCGTACCCCCCAAGCCAGATGGAAACACAGAGAAAACACAGCACAGGTCTGAACGATAAACTAAAAGTTTATAAATTAAAGGGGGGAAATACAGCGCTTAGAGCTTCCAAACATCACACACATAATACTCGAGGATCAGAGAGTGCACAGTGCCGTGGAGGAGGTGAAAGCGGCGTAGACAGCACACCTGCGGTGGGCCAGGGGCAGGCCGGGGAGAATTCGGGGGCAGGACCCGGGTGGCAGAGCCGGTGGAAACAGGGAGCGCCAAGGGCCCACGAAAGGCGGGCAGGGGATATTCACATTGAATACAAAAATAACCGTCATTTGAATACAAACAACTGCAAAGTGCTACACGTTTTAAACCTCTTTAAAGGAAAAAAGTAGAAGATTAAAAGAAAAGAAACGAGGGAAGTTTCTGCCAAAGGTTTCTGGGTTGGCTTTCTTCGGGTTTGGGGGCTCCCAGGTGGAACCGAGTTCGTGGAGCGAAGGTACCGGGTCCGGGTCCACGCTCGGACATTCAGCGGCTCGCCCCAGCGCAGACGCAGAACCCTTCGAGCTTTATTATCAAGCCCCTGGCCTGGGGTTCCTTGGGGGGGGACTGCCAGGGCTCCTCACCCCGTTGTTTACAAAGCAATTTCCAAAAAGAATAGATACGTAGGTACATAGATTGGTAGCATGGATACCATGAACTAGTGTGGTCTTAGCGCAGGAAACTCCCGGCGGGCCCGACGCGGCTGGGGATTCAGGTTCCGCGGTTTCCAGGAGCCCTCTCCGCTCTCCGAAACGCCATCCGCACGCAGACACCGTCCAGCTCCGACACCGGTGTGGGAGGCAATAAATAACACTGTCCTGGGGCCTCCGGGCGGGTGGGGGACGTCGGGGCGGAGGGGGAGCCGGGGGCGCTGGGCTCCCGGTGCGCTTCAGTCCGAATCGATAAACAAAGCCAGGCACCGCCTCCGGGCTGACACCCGGCTTCCAGGTGGCAGGTCCCGGGTCTCCTCCTTCGCGGGGGCCCCCCGCAGCCGTCGGCAGCCGCGCGGGGCAGGGGCGGGGGTGGCCGGCGGTTCACTGGGTGCCCGCGGCGGCGGCGGCGGCGGCGGCGCACGGGGACAGCGCCCAGCCCGGGAGGCAGTAATAGGGGTAGTAGTAGGAGGGCTGCAGGGGCAGCAGCGACGGCGGCCGCAGCACCTCGCCCGGCAGGTACTGTCTCTGGTCGTCGCGGACCAGCACTTTCACGGCCACCTTCTTGGCGGCGGGCGCCGAGGCCAGCAGGTCCGCGGCCATCTGCCGGCGCTTGGTCTTGTAGCGCCGGTTCTGGAACCAGATCTTCACCTGCGTCTCGGTGAGCTTCAGCGACGCGGCCAGGTCGGCGCGCTCGGGCCCCGACAAGTAGCGCTGGTGGTTGAAGCGCCGCTCCAGCTCGAAGACCTGCGCGTGCGAGAAGGCGGCCCGGGACCGCTTCTTGCGCGGCTTGGGCGGCGCGGGCTCTTCCTCCTCCTCCGCGCCGCCCGCCAGCCCGCCGCCGCCGCCGCCCAGCTCTGCAGCGCGGGCGCCTCCCGGGCCAACACCGTCGTCCTCCGCCCTCGGGCTGCGGTCGCCTGCAAGACCCCAGGGGGGAGACAGACAAGACACTGTCAGCGCCCGGGGAAAGCGGGTCCGGGTCCTTGCTGGGGTGTGTGTGTAGGGGAGAGTTGGAGGGGCGCGGAAATACAGTCGGACCTCTCGGGATCAGCGGTGTGTGTGTGTGTGTGTGTGTGTGTGTGTGTGTGTGTGTGTGTGTGTGTTTGGGGGTCACGAGGCCGCGGGTCCTGGACACGGTCCTTCACCTAACCTGGTCCACAGACTCCCCGCATCTAGGCCCGCTGCGCTCCTGCTCCCCGCTCCCCTCTGTCCCCCACACTCAGGTTAGTAGCGGGGGTTTGCGCATATCCCCAAATCTCAGCTTCCCAGGAAACCTGGGGCTCTCCATTGCGTTTACTTTTCTTTTTTCTTTTTGGGTCACACCCGGCATGGCACAGGGCTTACTCCTGGCTCATGCACTCAGGAATTACTCCCGAACCCGGGTTGGCCGCGTGCAAGGCAAACGCCCTACCCGCTGTGCTATTGCTCCAGCCCCTCTCCACTGCGTTTAGGACCCCGCGATCTCGACTGCTCTCAGAGCAAACGCATCGGCTGCAGGTCAAGGGAAGGTGTGTGTGTTTTGGGTGGGGGGCGGTGTGGGCGGTGGGGACTCGGGGGACAGATGGAGGCAGAAACGTTTGGAACCTCCCAGTCCCCACCACCTGAGATTGTTGAGATGAGGCTGGGTGGTGATGGTGGGGGGGGGGGGGCGGTGCATGGAAATAAGATGCGGATTAAGAAGGTGTGGGGGGCTGGCTGGATCCATGCATCCAGTTCGATGCCCTGAACCCCCCCAGCCGATTGTACTCTGTTCCCTGGGGATACCATTTGCCTGGGGTGGGGGGTCACCAGCCCGAGGCCTAGCGCCACTGCATCCCCAGCAGGGAAGGCAAGGGGGTCTTGCTGAGCAAATGACAGGCAAGCCCGCGGCAGAGGAGACGCCCCTCTCCGCTAGGTCGGCCTCCGCCTGACCCAGAGCACCTTTGCCCGGAGCGGGTTACGCCAGCGCAGGCCCTCCGACCCTGGGTTTGGGGGAGCTTTACGAGTACGGATCCCCCAGTCCCCCAAAGCAGGGCTCAGTAGACCTTGCCGGCGGCGCGCCCGGAGGCCTCCCGGGCTGCCTCACGTCAGCGGCGGAGTCCGGCTCTCCAGGCCCGTGGTGCGTAGGACTCGGAGCGCTGGCGACCAGCAGCTAAGGCGGACCCCCGAGTTCTCTCCAGCGGCCCACGGAGGCCCAGGGGCTCAGGGTGTGCGGGTCAAAGCTCACACTGCTGGAGCCGCTCGAACCATCGCGTGGGGGATCCGGGAGCTGGCCAGGCCGGCCGGGGCGCGGGTGCGCGCGGGGCAGGCTTGCTGCACGCCGCGGGGTGGCCCTCCCCGCCCGGCTACCCCCCTGTCCCGCCAAGCCTCGGCGAACCTGAGATGCTGGCCGACATCTCGCTGTCGCTGCGGCCCGCGTTTTCCTCGTCCAGGTCCTTGGCGGCGGGCAGCGGGCAGGGCGGCGGGCCCAGGGCCCCGGCGGCGGCGCGGCTGGCCCTCGGCGCGTTGTCGTCGCTCGGCGCCGAGTCCGAGTCCCAGCCTCCCGGGCTCTCCGCGCTGCGCCCCGCAGCCGTCCGGGTCCTCCCCGGAGACGCCAGCGGCGAGTCCTCGGCGCTCCCCAGCGCGCCCGCGTCAGTCTCCCCGAAGAGCCGCCAGCAGCAGACGCCGGGGGCCGCGGCCACCGCCACAGCTGCGCCCGCGGGGGCCGGACGGCCGTCGGGCGCGGGTGGCGCGGCGCGCTCGTCCTTCTTGTTGAGGATGGCCTGGATGGAGAAGGACGTCAAGGTGTTGGCGCCGCGCACGGCCATGGGCGCCGCGGGGCGGGCTGCTGGGCGCGGGGCGGCTCCGGGCTGGACGGGCGGAGAGCGCGGGCCGCCGCGGCGCGAGGGAGCCCCCGGCGAGGCGCGCGAGGGCCCTGCAAGCCCACTCGGGGGGCGGCCCGGGGACCGGCGCCGACCCTCGCCCCCGCTTCCGAGGCCCGCGCCGCCGGAGACCCCCTCCCCGCCCTTGCAGCTGCAGACGAGCTCCTGGGCTCTGGAGCGCCGCCCGGCCGGACTATCTCATCGCCCGGAGCCCTGGGAGGCGGGCCGGGGTCTGCCCGGGTCGCGGGACTTCGTGGGGAGGGCGCGGCCCGGCGGGGACCCTGGGTGGCCGCCGCGCTCTCCGGAGCGTCTCCGGGGCGCACAGCCCGAGGGACTCGCCCTTCGCGCCAGCCTCTTCGCGGGCCTTCTTGGTGCCAGGGCCGAGCCCCCGAGCGCCGGCCGCGGCCTTCCGAGAGGCGCGGGGCGCCCTTTTCCCTCCCCCGGCCCTTCCGTTTTATCTGTTTCTTCTCTTTCCCTCCCGGGCGTTCCAGCGCGCCCCCCCTCCCCGCCCGCCCGGGTGTCATTCCTCACCGCTGAGTGACAGCCGCGGGACACGCCCCCGCGCGGAGCTGGCTGGCCCTTCCCGGCCGCCCATTGGTCAGCTCCAGCTGGGCGACGTCGGCTGAAACCCACAAAACTGGACTCGCGGAGCTCACAAAGTCCCCGGCTCGCTTAACTCTTTCGCGCCCCCAGCGTGGGGCGCCAGCATCCTCGGCCAGAGGGAGGGAGGCTCAGCCACCCAGACGCGCTGCCGGAGATAACACGGTCCTTGTGCCTCTGTCACTCAGGCCAGCGCTTTTGGGAAAAGCACTCTTTAGAACCAAAACCCGCGCAGGAAACGGATGCCACGCGAGTAGTGTTGTTCTTGAGGAAAGCTCACGGATACGCAGAACGAAGGGCATCGTTTTCCCCCTTCTTCGAGTCCCATAGCTTCCTCGCTGCTAATTCTTTTCCTGTAATGAAATTCTTTTCCAGTTAATTAAAACCACCCTGAAATGTTGCTTATTTTCTCCCCTTATTTGATTCGATTTGAACGGAGATAATGATTTTAAAAAAAGGTGGTAAAGTTTGAGTCAAGTCAGGAAGGGAATTGGAAGGCGTTTTGGAGAGTTTCTGGAAATTGCGAGGTCATTTTCTCCAGAAGTCAATACTGAATTTGATTGGAATTTGTTATATTTTACAATCCAGAAAGAAAAAAATAACAGTTCTTACAGTTTGTTCTTTACGTAGTCTGTTACTTGTGGGATAAAACAGTTTCATTAAAGGAGTATCTGGAAGTTACCAGTTGCCATAATAGTGATCTCAAATTGTCAATCATTAAATGCTCTTGGAGATGTAAAATAGTTTTTGTGTAATTTAAGGAAACAACCTAAGGAAACGTCAAGCAAGTGATTCTTGTTTCTTCTTTGTTTTAAATGGGGAAAAAATCGCTCCAGTAACATACTTCGCTGTCTTTCACTAAATTTTGCCAGAGGTTTAACAACATCCATCACCTAACCTGAACAAGCATTAAGGTCAAATTTAAAGAACTGTGATTTTGGTGTAGTACTTCGCTAGCATTTAGTGTTCTTGGTGTCACTAGAATAAATATCATTTTCTGCCCTTGGTTTCTTTGGGGTTGCTTTTATTTAGCAAGGCGAGAGGAAATACACCAAAATATTCATATTCTTCCGGACCTGTGGGGATTCTTTGCAGCGTTCAGACCTTCTGGCTTTGCCGCCTTAGAAGCGCAAGATCTCCATACACAGTCGTTAGTGTTGGGGGTGCTGGCGGGGGCGGGGGGGGGTTAACGCTGGAGAAGGTCATTGCCCTTTGTAGTTCTTTACGATAACATCAATTTGGAGGGAAAGATGTTTAAATTTGGTGTCAGAGCTCTGACGCTCTTCCCCAGCAGCTGGGTTAAGAGTTTCAAAACTCTTTAAGTTTCCTGCGGATTTGGTATGGAGAAACGGTCATCAGAGTAGCAGACTGGGCGGGCAGAGACCTGGGGGGGGGGGGGGGCACTGAACGGGCAAGCCTCCAAGTCAGGGCTGTGCAAAGCTCTTCCCTGAGCCTTGTTCAGTTTTAAATCCAAGTCACAGTAAGATACGATGACCCCCGCCCCCCGTTTGGGACGGTTTTCGAAGAGGCGGGGTTGCGGCGTGGAGCTGGCCGCTCGGGGTCTGTGTCCAGGCGGGTGCGTGTGATCCGGGCCAGGGAGGCAGCCGGCCCCGTCGCTCGGTTCTGGGAGCGCGATTCCAGGCCGGGTCAGCACTCGGTGCCCACTCGGACTAGAAGACGCCCGGCCTGCGGCGTCCTCGAGCAGCGGCTCCGCAGAGGAGGCTGGTGGATACGGGAGGTTCAGGGCCACCAAGTGTGGAGGAGCTGCGGGGTACGGAGACGCCCTGCTCGCACCGCGGGGGCCCCTCGGAGGGCGAACGCGTGGGCTCCCTGCTTCCAGATCGTCTAGGGCATCAGCGCGGGCCGTGGCCGCGAACTCCGGGGATTCGCCGCCCCGTGCTCCGGGAAATTCGCCCCTCGAGGTCCTGGTGCCCCAAGCCTCTCGCCTCTTTTTTTCCAGCTCCTCCCACCCCGTCCAACTCCTTCTCCCCTGCTGGTCCTTTCTGTGCCTGCCGCCGTCTCTCCCGCGTCCTCGCCGGGTTCCTGGGCGCCCCCTACGTGCAGCGCCGAGCGCTCCCGGAACAACCGAGTCCCCACGCGCCCACGCGCCCTGAGGCTTCATCTAGTTGGCGAAGGAACGTGAGGCCGGAGTGAGGGCCCCGAAGCATGGGCCTTTGTGTGCCCGCTGCCCGCGCATACCAGGACAGATGCAGTGCAATCTGCAGTGCAAGCTCCAGGGACCCTCGGGGCATCTCCGATGGGACCACCGTGAACCCGTCGTCCCCTCCTGCCCCCTGCCTTATTAGGATACTCCCCACCTCCTCCCCGGTGACCTCCTCCCCGGCGTGTGTATCGGAGCACCCAGAGAGTGCGCGTCAGAATTGCGCCCTATCATGCCAGTGACCTTGACCCCCGGTTTTCAGCCCTTTTAAAACAAGGGCTTGACCGGGTGGCTCTGGGGCCATGGCTGCATCGTGCGGGGGACAGGTGCGGGTTGCGGAATCTCGGAATTCCTGTCCAGGTGGCGGCCACCCAGACTGACCGTCTGCCCCCAGCACCCCAAGCCACTGCTCACCTTCTGACCTGCAGACACCACCCTTAAAGCCCTCGGATCTCAGATCCCACCTGCATTTATGCTCAGGGGCCAAAATAATCTTCACCAGACCGGAGATAAGCTAGCTGGTGGGCCGAGAAGTTTTGAAACTGTTGCTTCCAAAACCTAGACTGTTACTGTTGCCTTTAAAACTAACCTTGTGCCTGGCGGTGTTAAAACCTATCCTCTTGTTTATTCTACACATCCCTGAGGGTGGATGGGTAGGAAACAGTCTGATCCTCGGAAGCTGAAATGTGCAGAGTTTAAGTGACCATCAGTCATGGCTGACCCAGATCTTTGACTTTGCCAGCTGGACTGGGATTTCTGCTCCGAGCATGGTGTTCCTAAATCTTCATCTTCTCTCTGGTTCAGTGGGGCCCCCTGTTCTTCCTAACAATGTTAATGCCACTATTTTGCTTTTGAATCACCTTGAGATAGAGCATTACAAAGTTGTTCATGATTGTGTTTCAGTCATACAATTGTTCCAATACCCATCCCTCCACCAGTGTAATTTCCCAGCACCGGTGTCCCCAATTCCCCCCCCCCCAACCCCTTCAAGTCACCTCCCCACCCAGCCTCCTCTGTGGCAGGAACCTCTCCTCCCTTCCTCCCCCCTCTCTCTTTCTCTCTCTCTCATTTTAGGCATTATGATTTGCGATACAGATGCTGAAAGATTATCGTGTATATCCCTTTGCCTACTTTCAACACTCAGCTCTTGTCCAGAGCAATCATTTCCAACTAATATTGTCATAACGGACCCTCCGCAGCAGTCAATGCCACCCTTTCACCAGAAGAGGCCCTTGCATGGAAATAAAGTGAAAAGAGAATCTAGCCACGTTTTTCCTGTTCTTTGCATTTGCAGAGAAAGACTCAGATCTACAGATTTGAACCTAAACCTTGCGCTCTAGAAACGTTCCTTGATTCACTGCACTAAACCGCATGTAGCGGGAGACAGCCGGACGGTGGAAGTTCGTGCAGCTCCGAAGCACGGGGGCCAGGGGCTTGCTGGAGGCTCCAGGCGCCGCGCTGCGCGTTCCCTCCAGAGCCCGCTCGGGTTTTTCTGCTATTTCGGCCCGGCCCGGCGGGCTGACGCCGAGAGCCGCGCTCAGGTGCGCGCGACCCAGCGGCGACAGTGGAGGACGGGCGCCACCTAGCGGGAAGCCTGGGGACGTCGTGTTTGAACGTTAAGTGGGAAAAGGCAAAAAGAAAACCTAATTTTCACAGAACACAATGTTTTGTGCTGTTTTTTCTTTCGTTTGTTCTCACAGTGTCTCGTTGTGAGTGATCCAATCGTGGAAGTGTTCCGTTTACAAAACTCACCCGGACGCAGTACAGAAGGCACCGCCCTGCGAGACAGGAGGAGAAACTCGGACAGGCAGGACTGGTGGGGATCATTTGGAAGGGGACCCTCTGCTCTGCACGGTGTGTCCCTAGACCTGCCTGCTGACACACTCTAAGAGAGTTCTCCCTGCTGGCTCCGCGGGGCTCCGTACACACTTGTGTACGGGCTACTCTAGTGTCTGGTAGAAAAGGAAATAAATCTGGTATTCATCCTTCATCTCTGGCTCACTTCCACATGTGCTAGAACATTTGTTTGTTTGGTTTTCAGCCACATCCGGCGGTGCTCAGGGCTTACTTCTGGCACTGCACTTAGGAATTACTCCTCGAGGTGCTCAGGGGATCATATGGGATGCTGGGGGGGGGGGGGGGAGAGTCGAATCCCTGTCAGCCACAGGCGAGGCAAATGTCTTACTGGATGTACTATTGTTCTGACCTCTAGAACTAAGGCTGATAACATCATGTTGAACAGGCACATTTGCTTCTCCAACCATCGGTGGGCCACTGGGTTGTGTGTGCGTCTTCACTCCGTAAACAGTGCTCCACAGAACGTGGACATGTGAGTGGGAAGCATGGTGGTCTACGACAGTGTCTCCACACTTGCCTGCATTCAGTGCCCTTTGCACATGTCACATGCCATCCACCGGCACATCTCCTGTTCCTCCCCCAGGAGAGCCCACTGACTCACAGAATCAGGAAAATGGTCCCTGTTATTGGCAAGAAGGGAGGTAGGGAATCCATACTTATGGCTCGTACCTCTGATCAGGAAGCTGGACCCAGGCAGGACCCAGGACCAAATGGTTGATGATTCATCCTCCATCAACACCTTGGAATCTTCTTCTTCTTCTTCTTCTTCTTCTTCTTCTTCTTCTTCTTCTTCTTCTTCTTCTTCTTCTTCTTCTTCTTCTTCTTCTTCTTCTTCTTCTTCTTCCTCTTCCTCTTCCTCTTCTTCCTCTTCTTCCTCCTCCTCCTTCTCTTCTTCTTCTTCTTCTTCTTCTTCTTCTTCTTCTTCTTCTTCTTCTTCTTCTTCTTCTTCTTCCTCTTCCTCTTCCTCTTCTTCCTCCTCCTCCTTCTCTTCTTCTTCTTCTTCTTCTTCTTCTTCTTCTTCTTCTTCTTCTTCTTCTTCTTCTTCTTCTTCTTCTTCTTCTTCTGTGTTGGGACCATATCTAGTGGTGATTAGGGCTTACTCCTGGCTCAGGGGTCACTCCTGGCAGGCCCAGGAAGAACATTTGGGATGCTGGGGATTGATCCAGGTCTGCCACTTGTAAGGCGAGTGCCTCACTTGCTGGACTATCTCTCCAGCCCCCAATCCTTATCCATATGCTTTTTTTTTCCTTTTTGGGTCACACCTGACGTTGCACAGGGTTTACACCTGCCTCATGCACTCAGGAATTACTCCTGGCGGTGCTTGGGAAACCATATGGGATGCTGGGAATCGAACCCGGGTTGGCCGCATGCAAATGCCCTACCCGCTGTGCTATTGCTCCAGCCCCCAATCCTTATGCTCTTACTACCTGAATGAAGGAAAGTTTATTTTGGTACCAGTAGTGCCTAATCTGCTGGTATATTCACGATCTGCAGTTAAATTTCCTAGAACCCCAAAGCACACCCTTTCCCCCTGCCAGGCTTGGACACTCTGGTCCACCTGTCCCGACCTGCCATGACCTTTTCCTCCTGGGCATGAGATCTGCTGTCGCCTTCACACTAATGGCCAGTGCACTCAGCCTGGGCACTCTGTCTTGAACTAGACAGACGAATCTGGCCAGCGGCCATCCCATGATGATGAAGAGAAATAAATGTGTAACCTGGAAGTGTGACTGTTTGGGGGTCCAATTACCTGTTAGAGTCATTCTCACACCTCTTGAGTGTTTTCCCAGCTAGGTTGAGTCACCTGTAATCTTTCATTTACTTTGCACCTTTATTTAAATGGACACTTTTAATTTAAAATTTTTTTTCTATATGGGCCATACTTGGTGGTAATCATGGGTTACTCCTGACTCTGTGCTCCAGAATCGCTCCTGGCGGTGCTCTGGGGACTATATGGGATGCCAGGGATCAAACCCGGGTCAGCCACCTGCAAGGCAAGTGCTTAATCTGCTGCATTATCTCTATGGCCCAATTGACCACTTTCACAATATGAGGGAAGACTATTTTCCAAAGAACTTTTGTATAAATAATATAAATATATGTAAAAATTAAGTATCAGTAACCACTTGCTAAATAGAATATTAAAGAGAACACAGTTTGATGTTGATAAAGTAATGCTCTGGGTTGGAAGTCGACTCTCATGAGAACTGAACTGACAATAGCTAGGCTCACTTATCTGGGACAGCCAGATAAACCAAGTTGCAGTTTCCCAACAGAGTCTGAAACCCCTAAAGGGAGTTGACCAAAGAGAGACAAGGACAGAAATTCACCAAAAGAAACAGGCCGGAGCTGGATAATCCATCAGGGAATCTGAACTGCAGGCAGCTCACCCAGCAGCCCCGACACTGCATGTGGCCCCCGTTCCCAGCCAGGTGTGGTCCTTGAGTGCACAGCAGCAGTAAGCCTTGAGCACTGCATGATGTGGCCCCCAAACAAAAGAAAACCAAACTAACAAAAAAGACACAGGTCAACCGTTTGTGGCCTTCTTCTCCAGCTCTCCCGGACCCAGAAACCACCCAAATACTCAGGAAGTAGAGTGCATTGGCTCAAGTTAATAGCTTTGTGTTCTTGGGATAGAAGCGACAGGAGGACGCCGGGCCACCTGGAAGTCCTTTCTTACTGTTTTGGAGACATTCCTATATCCCAATGATGGCAAAATTGGGTTCTTTTTTCATCATTTCCCTGCCAACATGTATTATCTCAGTCTTTTTGATACAAGCTTACAGGTGTGAGAGATGACCTTATTTGTCCTTTTCACTTACACAAGTGATAAGCGATCACTTGTTTTCTGATAATAAATGACAATGAATACTTCTTTTGCTTTTGGGCCACACCTGGCAGTCCTCAGTTCTTACTCCTGGTTCTGCACTCAGATCTCTCCTGGCAGTGCTCAGGGGACCATATGGAATGCTGGGGATTGAACCCGGGTCAGCTGCCTGCAAGTAGCTCTACCTACTGTACTGTCACTCCGGACAACACATAAATTTTCATATGCCTACTGGCATCTGGATGCGTTCTTTGAAAGGGGTCTGTTCACCTCCTTTCCCCACTTTTGGGCAGGGTTGTTGATTTTGTA